AGGGAAAGACAAAGGCCAAACTCAAATAAACTAAGTTTCTTTCTGCTTTAAAAAAGAGACTTGTTCTGGCAGCTGTGGCTCAGTTAGCTGAGTGTCATCTCTGCACAGAGAGGTCACTGGTTAGATTCCTGGTCAGGGCATATGCCCAGGTTTCAGGTTTAGTTCCCAGTAGGGGGTGCGAAGGAGGCGTGATTGTTGTTTCTCTCTCCCTCTCCCTTCCCCTCACTCTAAAAAGTCAATAAAAAACATTTTTTTTAAAATAGAAGTCATTTTTCTTAACTCAATTTGACAAAAAAATAGGCCAAAAAATGATTTGATAATGAAAGCAATCTAGTTTCAATATTTCTTCTGCTCTCAAAAGGGGGTGGGGAATCATGAAATTTTTTTAAAAGATAAAATTTGTGCAGACCTCTTAACTTTTTCATGGCAATAACAGTGCCAAATACTAAGTTAAAATACACAGTTTGATCAACACAATATCATATACCCAAAAGCTAACAGCAACTTTCAAATTTCAAAATCTGATATTGTATTCAATTTTGTAACATTAATGTTGCAACCTGCTCTTTAATTTTGAAAAGCAAGCTTCTCTAAATAATATATACCTTCAGTTTTAGAAATCATATTTAAGAAAAAATATAAAGACAGACTGACAGACTTCAGTTACTAGGCAGGTAAGATATTTCTTAACAGAGTAAAAGGAAAATAGAAAGATACGCACACACCAGTGGGAAAGGCGGCACCTTCTCAATGGTAACCTCCCTAACCACATGGAAATGTCCTCTGCACCAGCGGTCGGCGACCGCTGCTCGTACCATTCCCCACTGGACCCTTTTCATAGTCACTTTTCATGAAGGAAGAGTACTAATGGCAATAAACTTAAAGCCCAAAAGTCATGATCTCTCCCAAATAAAGTTACTCTGAAGTCTATGTTGAGTTTGCTTACATAAAAACACCAAACGCCCCAAAACACACCTAAACTGATTAAGGGGGATACACCAATAATTTTCATTCTTACAAGGTGTATGATACCTAAGAATACATAAGGGGGAAAGACATCTTATATAATATCCTATATAATAATTGGCTAATATGCAAATTGTCCCCTCAACAGGGAGTACGACCGGGAGTTCAACCAGTTCAACCAGGGGGCGGGGCCGGCCAGCCAACAGCCCCTCCCCCTGGCCGGCCCCATCCCTGAGCACCCGCCCCCTCCCATCAGGGCAGAGTGGGCCAGCCAGATCCCAGCTGTGCACGAGTTCATGCACCAGGCCTCTAGTACAAAAATAATTTGACAGCCTTCAAAAGGCATCTGCAAAAGCATCTCACCATATAGCCCCAGTCTCCATTATCCATCTGCTCCAGCGCTGCGTCTGGGGAGCCCAGGTTCCAGGAAAACTTGGGGAGGAGAAAAAGACAAGACAGCACATGTAACCATGAAAACAGAGAGGAAAGATTTTTCCACTTCACAGAGCAGGCGGAAACATGAGAAAACTACTCATCTTTGCTCAATTAAAACCTGTTACAGGGCAAAGATCTAGGGAAGCATTCCTCCAGAGCAGCGATTTTCAATCAGGTGCTACAAGAATTTTTAAAATACGCAATTCTGCCCTGGCTGGTTAGAGAGTCAGTCTTTGGACCAAAGGGTTACAGGTTCAATTCCCAGTCAAGGGCATGTACTTGGGTTGCAGGTTCGATCCTCAGCCCTGGTCAGGGCGCGTGTGGGAGACAACCAATTGATGTGTCTCTCTCACATTGATGATTCTCATTCTCATTCTCTCTCTCTCTCTCGCTCTCTCTCTCTCTCTCTCTCTCTCCCCTTCCCTACCTCTCTCTCTAAAAAAAAAAAAAAATCAATGGGGAAAACTATCCTTGGGTGAGGATTAACAAATATATATGTAACACCTGACTCTTTAGTCAGGGGCACTGACCTCTTTTCCTTTAGATTGTCAAATTAAAAAAATGACAACCAACACAATAATAGACATCCAGTGTGAACAAATCAAAATTATACCTATTTTGTCTGACTGGTGTTGCTCAGTCATTGAGCCTCAACCAATGAACCAAGACATACAGTTTGATTCCTATGAACCAGGGGTCAGTTTGATTTCTGGTCAGAGCACATGCCCAGGTTACTGGCTCAATCCCAGTAAGGAGGCATGCAGCCAATTGATGATTCCCTCTCATCACTGATGTTTCTATCTCTCCCCTTTTCCCTTCCTCTCTCTCTAAAATCAATAAAAATATTTATTTTTAAATTATACCTATTTTTTTGTCAGATCAGCAAAAAATATAGTCTACAATGGAATCTCGGTTCTCAAACTTAGTTTGTTCCCTAAGGCTGTTCAAGGAGTAATTTGTTCGAAAACAAAATCATTTTTTCCCATTAGAAATACGTAATGTAAATTGAATTAATCCATTCCAGATGCTCAAAAGCAAAACAAACAAAAAAACCACAAAAATCTTCACAGCACAATTTCCTGGGATGTTAATATGCGAGTTAGTGGTAAACTAACTCACACACACATTCTCTCCTTTGTCACCCAAGAGACATGTGACTGATCGATCATACAGGTATCAGCAAGAAAGGGTTTTGGGTCGAGAACCAAAATTTTACATGAACAACTTCATCAAGAACTGAATTGTTTGCCCTAACCGGTTTGGCTCAGTGGATAGAGCATCGGCCTGTGAACTGAAGGGTCCCAGGTTCGATTCCAGTCAAGGGCATGTACCTTGGTTGCGGGCACATCCCCAGTAGGGAGTGTGCAGGAGGCAGCTGATTGATGTTTCTCTCTCATCGATGTTCCTAACTCTCTATCCCTCTCCCTTCCTCTCTGTAAAAAATCAATAAAATATATTTTTTAAAAAAAGAACTGAATTGTTTGAGATGGGAAACATTCTAGAACTGAGATTTGACCTATAATATTTGGGGTGCCACAGAATTTTAGTAATTAGTTTATGTGTGTCATGAGATGGAAAAGGTTGAAAATTGCTGCTTCAAAGCATTCTATGGGCGCACTTCCTTCCCACAACATGCACCTAACCTCTACAAGAAAGAATGATCCTATACTTAGGGAACAAGGAAGAGACTAGGAAGTAAATTAGTCATTCAAGTTCTACCTATCTTCTCTGAAAATTCAATTTTTAGAATTTCTATGGGAGAACATTACAATTAACTCTACAACCTTATCCTTGTACAAACCTATCATGATCCTTACCAAAAAGGTTGTTTAAGAGAGAGGTGGGGGGGGGGACCTCTTTTTCATCAGCATTTCAGCTATACAAACTAAACATCTCAGTAAAAGCATTAAAAACCTTAGACCTCCAAGATACCAGTATCACTTCGCAAGAGAAATACCATCAGGATGGCATTTCTTTCATAACATAAAAAACTAAGTGTACTTTTAATACTGATACATTTCATTTATACAATAATCAAAACAAATAGAAAATAATTTAAATGCCAAAACATTAGAGCAAATTTTGGGGCAAGAAGAACCTTACAAATCGGCTTGAGAGTCACTCAGCTGGCACTTGGGAGAGCCAGCCTGAAGACACTGATAAACACCAGATACTAATGATGCCAGTTTGAATTTACCTACAATTCCAAATCACTTAAGCAAACAGTTTCCCAGCTACTGAACAGCTTTAGTCAGTGCCCTCTCACGCACATCATTCCCCAATCAACCAGCAAAGCAGTTTCAAAAGCTCTGACAAGAGACAATAAGAAGCATGGACTTATCGGAAAAGCACTGGCTCCTTTATGTGGTCTTTCAACAGATTCACTTTTCCCACTTTTAGAGGAATCTGGCACACTATTCCCAGAACAGGCCTGGCTACAGAAGATCACAAAGGCTCTTTCTCAAAAGGTCACTCAGGCATGTAGAGAACATTTGCATAGCACAGCATGGGCTGAAATCAGAGCCTGAAGCATCTATTTCTCCACCTCAAAAATTCTTCAAAGCAAACAAGCTAAAATGTGGGCCAGACAACGCACAGTTCGTTTTTATTCTAATACCACACTCAGCAGTTGGATATAGATAGGCCTCCACATGCTACAGGGTGAGAAATAGAACAAATGTCAAATTTTAGGGCTGTGACAAGCTTTCATTCCTGACTTGTTTCACAAACAGTATTTGAAAAGAACAACAACAACAGGCTTTACCAATCTGTATTATTAGCATCTGATTATATGATTCCGTTACTGATAAAACAGACAGGTAAGTAACAATTTAAAAGACCAGTCATCCAAAGGTTTTGTAAGATGCCCCTCTTTGGCATCTTCCCATCACCAAAAGCATTCATTCCTGACAGCCTCAAAAATAATTCAAGCAACATTTACTGTAGGTCAGTAGACATTAGGTGCAATGTGGATACAGGAAACAGGAAAAGTACAATCCCTGCCTTCAATCTATGAAGAAAGGCAACATGCAACACCTGAAGTGCTGTTGGGGTCCAGCCCCAGCAGGTCCAGGGGTTCCCAAAGGTGTGGACAGAGTCGGCGGAGAAGGAATGACACAGAGACAGCCTTCAGATGATCAGCATAGCAAGGTCCTTTTATTGTCCTGTAACATCTGTATTTATACCATTTGATCCTATAAGTATGCCTCTATAATCACATCATAGTATGTTTGTTTTGGGTAACCTTCTACAGTTCCTTATTTCATTTCCATAGTTTCTTATCTGACCTTTGCCAAAAATCCTGTCTCTATCTAGTTCTATTGATTTTAATCTTATCTAGGTTAATCTCTGTGTTTCATTATAAGGGCTATTCCAAGGTCACTATTCTACCGCTCTGCTGATTAACTACAAGGAAGTGACTGAAGGAGATTATCCTACCCAATAAAGGTTATGTCCTCCCAGCCCTGCTGCTTTCCTTCCCTGGGACTGCCCTGGGTCGGTGGGTCTCCAGGGGTACAGGCTTTGGTGCTTTCCCTGGTATGCAGACCCCTGGGGATGTGGGCCCAACAGTCCCAAATTTATTGCCAACAGTCTTAGTCCTGTTAATCCCTAACTCCAGGGCCCGCAGTGACTGTGTCAAGCAGCTAGGATGGACCGGCTTCCAGCAAATTCCCCCATTTTTATTTTTTAAATGATAGCACGTGTAAATCAGCGGCCACCTCTCGGATTGGGTTGTTTACGGAAGAAAACTTGTTTGTGATTTTGCTAACATGTCAGTCCGAGGCTTAACCCTATATTGGCTCCCCACAAAGCGCAGCACAGAATTCAAAGTGCTTTGTAACATACAGACTGCCAGAGGCCTCCTGGAGAAAGAGCAAGAACAGTTCCAAACGGGAAAAGGGAGGACTTCTGGGAAGAACTCCCTCAGTAGACCTCTGCAGGAATAGCTGGACAACCTGAGAGGGTCTCTAGAATGAAGAAACATTTTAAGTAAAAGGGGGAGGAGGACTTCCTGATACAGCAAGCAGTGCATGAGTTAGTCCCCATTTTACAGATTCAAAATAGAGGAACAGCAGATAGGGATTTGCTCTAGGCCTCATAGCTGGAAAGAGCTGATCAAGAGCTTGAGTTTTCTGACTCCTAGTTTAGATCCTTCCATGAATCCTCTCCTGGGGTAGAAACAGAAGGAAGAGAATCCAAGAAACAAGAAACTGAAAGGATTAACTTTAGACCTCCTACAGCTGTCTATCAACCTTCTTCACCTCCTAAGGTTTTAGTTACAAATGCTAACAGTCACTCAGTTTACTAGTAAATGAGCAGTCAACGGGTTTGTAAAAATTCCCGAGTCAAACCATCAAGAACCTACTCCCTAGTGCAGTGATGGCGAACTCATTTTTTTGGTTGATTTTTCTTTGTTAAATGGCATTTAAATACATAAAATAAATATCAAATATATGTCTTTGTTTTACTATGGTTGCAAATATAAAAAAATTTCTGTATGTGACATGGCACCGGAGTTAAGGGTTTTTCAAAATGCTGCCACGCCAAGCTCAAAAGGTTCGCCATCACTGCCCTAGTGCAAGCATGTCAAACTCAATGGCTAACACAGGCCAAATAAACAAGGTTTAAGTTTATTTGGGCCACAAAAAAACAAAAGCTTCAATTTTCATAGAATCGTAGGTTTATTTCGATAGAGACATGCTGAATACAAAGGGCTGACATAAATAAGTCATCATTCATAAAATAATAGAACATTTTAATAAAAATTAATATTTTTTCTTGAACATTAACTTACCAGACACTGAATAACTGCACAAATTAATAAGTGTAATGCAAATAAACCTATTTCTCTTGTTCTCTGAAAGCAAAATATTTCCTGTTGCACACACCAAACAAGTCAGTCCAAGACTAATGATGTGGCAGTCGGCTGCTAAAATATTCGCTGCTAGTACTAGTGGAGAGAAATGGTGCGCCCGGCACGTAAGGGAAATGAATGC